ATTGGGGAGTTCCTCTGCCTCATGTGGTCACTACTAAAGCATTTAAATGATGCTCCTCAGTACTGGCATTATCCCATAAATGTCTCAAGCCCCATAAATGTCTCAAGCCCCATGGATGGCTACAGGATGGCTGTAGCAGTGACTGGTTCAAGACAGCACAGGAGTCAGGTGACTTTAGTGGGAGAGGAGTGTGAGTCAGGCTGCCCAAATATTGTGTGCAGGTGTCTAGTACTAGGGCATGAGAAGGTAAAAACTCAGGGATATGAATGTAGAAGTGAGGGCATAATATCTAGCACTCAGGACATGAAAATACTCTTCACAGGCAAGCTGTGCAGGGGATACTGGAGTTCTCTTCACCCGTTGCAACCTCCTTGGCTGGTTACTGATGCTTGCACCTAGATGCTAATTGATGATGGCTGCCGCTGCCCTTCTATTGTTGCTCTTGGATGTGGTAATTGTTGTGGCCTCTTCCCCGTGTTTCCTGGTAGAGCAGAAGCAATGGAGTGATTTCTGGCCTGCAGATCCTCAAGGGTCTTGTGTAACAAAATGGCTTTTGGTAGGGCATGGATGCCCACATGAAATGGTCCAGCAGATCTGTGTTCATACAGTGCCTGTTGCTAGCTGTGGGCTCAAGGCTGCTGATTTGTGGATGCCGTCCCCTGCAGCAGAAGGGACACATGCAGCTGTGGTTTTCGATATACACTGAACGGACCCATTCACGTGTTTCTGCACAGTAGCAGCAGGCCTTGCCTATGGGGCTTCATCTGCTGAAACAGGAGGTTGCCCACAGACACCCAGAATTGCCCTTCCCTTGAATCTTGGAGCAACAGAAGTGTGGGTCACTCTGGCCTCTTTCCATGCCCACAGGCTGTATTAGGTTTGATTCAGCAAGAAGGACGGGACCAGGTTCCCAATTGCTTTCAGGACTGAAGAGAAAATAAGTGCCCTGACTGTGGCTGTCACAGATAGAGGGTCATCCAGGGCTTCATGGGGATGGGGAAAAGGAGAGACAGAGGTTAGATGCATCTGTAAGAGGATGGAGTCATGCTCTACTCCAAGCGTTATCTGTGTGTCCAGTGAGTCCCTCTCTTCTAGCTACCCTTCAACATTTTCATGTTACTTTAATAACAGATTTAGTTTCACAGTGAAGGCTGTGGGGCCTGCACTGCTGTCTCTAGCTCTGTTCCTAGATGCTCTGTTAATTGCTCCAAGAGTTCTGTATATTTAAGGGAGTCACCTCTGCATTTATCCCTGTGTTGCTGAAAACAGGACTTGACTATGGAGAACAATCATTTTCATCCTCTTTGGAGAGCTCAGATGGCTGGGGAGGAGAGGAGGAGTGGGGGGTCGGGGCATGCATGTCTGTGTCTGACCACTATTGTTTTGTTGTGGACCTGAGGTTTTATGTTAAGGAAACAGGGAGTTTGAGTACAGGTCTCCTAAGTGGCCAGTGGTGGAAACATCACAAGACAGAAGCAGATTGCAGAGATCACTGTGAGCAGTCAGAGGAAACTTTTCTTAAGAGGTGCCTCTGTCCTTGTGCCTGCTGAAGGGCCCCAGACCAGCAGGTGGATTCTGGCTGCAGTTTGGGGTACAAGCTCTGCCCTGGTTCCTCTTTCCTGTGCCCCGGGGCATTATGCCGCCCCCAACCCACCGTCCGGGGGTTTGGGTTAGCCACAGAAGTGCTGAGAGGTCGAACATGCCCAACACAAGTTGCCCTGTTGGTTGATACTATCCCTCCCATCCCAGTTTGATTTTGTGCAAGGAGAATTTCTTTGGCAGAATCCGGTCCCCTTCCTGCCCTGGTCAGGATGCCCCTGTCCCAGCCCTGGCTGCCCCTGCCCTGCCCTGCCTGCCCTGCACTGGGGGTCCCCAGCCTTTCTGGCATTTCCAGGCACTTTAAGCTGCAGCAAAGCCCGGTGTCAAACGTAGGCTGGGGCAGAGCCTCCATAGAGGGCCAAGGGCAGCTCCTGGGACATGGGGCCAGAACGAGTCACCGCTCTGAAGTCCTGGCCCCAGATGTGCACAGATATCATGCTGAGGGGGAGGAGCTGGCAGGGCCAGGTGCTGTAACAGGCTTCATCCCTGCAGCACGGGTATTTGTACAGGGTCCCCATGGCAGTGTGTCACTGTGCTTTGGCACAGTAGTAGGTGCCGCTGTCTCTGGCTTCCAGGCCTCTCACCTCCAAATACACCTCACTCTTGGACGTGTCCCGGGAGATGGTCAGGCGGGACTTCATGGAGTCCTGGTAGCACTTGTCATCATCCCAGAAGATGAGGCACAGCCACTCCAGGCCTTTCCCTGGGGGCTGCCAGATCCAGCTCACTACGCTCCCACTGGCAGTGAGGGAGAATCCGGACACGGCACAAGTGAGTCTCAAGGTCCCTGAAGGCTTTTCCTGGGCTGCAGTGTCCTGGAGCAGCTGAACCTGGGAGCAGACCCCTGTGGAGAGCACAGAGACGAGCTGTCAGGGAGGTGGCAGAGGTTGGGGGCAGGCAGTCCTGGGGAGACTCTGCAGACAGGGACTTACCTGGTGCACTGGCCAAGAGCAGGAGGGACAGGAGCAAAAGGCCCATGTTTCCTGTGGGCCAGAAAGCTGGAGCAGGCTGAGATGAAACAGGTCACAGGGGCTGGGACTGGCCAGATATTGCCCAGAACGAGGGGAAGCCTCTGCTCTTAAATGAAACGTGGAGGATCATTTGCATACCTGGCCCCAGGGCCTTATACCCCATGCAAAACCATGCAAAAGAGTCCAAAGAGTTAGATCCACAGTTATCTCAGAGGGAAGGGACACTTGGCCCTGAGCTCTGACATCCCTTTAACCCTGACCTGGAGCAGTCTGGATCAGCTCTGTCCCCTCACTGGTCCCCTTTGAGACAAGACATATTTATGGGGCCTGTTATTTGTCAGCCAGAACCAAGGATAGTCTCTCAGGTGCTGTAACTAGTGTGAGGTCTCACAGCCCTTGTCTCCTTGCCAATGTTCCCACTGCTTTTATCTGCTGCTATTTCAGAGGCCCCAAACCAGCAGCCGGGTTCTGGCTCTAACCCCAGGACAGGGGACGTCTGCCCTCTTCTGCCTCCCTCGAAAACTTATCTCCACCTGGGGGCTGGATCCTTCCTAGAGGGGTCAGAGAGGAGGACAGGTGCTGAGCTGAGGCCCAGATTTTGTGTGTGTGTGTGTGCGCGCGCGTGCGCATGTAAGTACGGAGAGAGAGTTCACTCATTCATGCAATGGCTCCTGCTGAGTTCTGCAGTTTGTAGAGGAAGGGGAAGAGGGATGAAGCCTTCTTCCCTTCCCCTCCTCTGAGCAGCCCCTGGGCTCTGTGTCCTGTCAGCTCCTGCAGCACATGACTTTCAAGGCCCCAGCCTGTCTTCCTGGAAACTGCTTCTTGCCCCGCGTTGTATCACTGTGTGTATCCAGCAGAGGCAGGACTTGGTGCTGGAGGACTGCAGACAAATGGTGATACACAGGGAGCGAGACTTGGATTTGCTTAGAGGGAGTTTGCCTGGGCTTCACTTTGGGGCTGGGGCAGATGGGGAAGTATGCTCATGTGTGTGCCCATGTGGGGTTTTCTTCTCCCTGTTGCTGCCTGGGCCCAGATGCCAACTGGCTGCTTCAGAGCAAACTGCATGGCCCCATTACTGGTGGGTCCATGCTGAGCCCGGCATTGGAAGTCCATCCTGCTGCTGCCTTCAGGGCCTGGTGGAGCTGACTTTTAGCCCCAAAAGCCTCAGTTCCTTGGTCCTTTCCCTTCTTCCCTGTCCAGCTCCCTTGCTTTGCTGTCACTGAGCTCAGTGACAGCAATGGGAATATAGGGGACAGACTGGAACATTACAGAGACCAGGCCACCTTCTTGCATGGCCACTGTGACCCTGCCTCCCCCTCCACCTCCCACTCTTGTATCTTGAACTAGGAGCTCTCTAGAACAGAGACTCAAGCTGGCACGAGCAAGACCCTGTGCCCCTCCCTGGACCCTAGAAAAAAGTGTGACAACCTGAGGGGGTGGCAGAGCAGGGCTGGAGTTGGGGCCAGCTGCAAGCTGGAGCCCAGGGGCCAGGCCAGACTCGGGAGAGGGAATAGGGCGCTTTGGGCTAGGGGCTGCAGGCTGTGTCCCTGGGGCTCAGGCTGCTCATCTGCAGGTGCAGCAGTTTCTGGGAACTGTCCCTGGAGGTGGTGAATTGCCCTTTCATCGCCAAGGGGTACTACTAGCTGCGTCCTTCACAAGTAGTTGCAGGCAGCCACCCACTCCAGCCCCTTCCCAGGGCCGGTTGCACCCAGTCCATGCAGTTGTCACTGAAGGTGAACCCAGAGTCTTTGCAGGATTGGTGCAGGCTTCCTCATATCCCCGCCAAACTTCACCAGCTGCACCTGGAAACTGAGGTAGGATGCAAAAGTAACTAATATCAGGGCAGCATCAATGTAGTGCTGCTCCCTTGCCTCTCCCTCCTCTTTAGGAGGATGAAATACCTTGCAGAGCTGCTGCCAGGACAAGGAGGAGAAGTCTGGTCTTGTGAGGCGGCTGCCCCAGTGCCCAGTGCAGCTGCTGGCAGGGAGGGGCCAGGGGAGAGGCAGGGTCTCGCTACCCTTCACTGACCCTAGGCTGCATGTGAGGGCACAAACTCTGGGGGGACCAATGCAGGGACAACCAGGAAGGGGCTTGGCACCAGGACCCCTGGGCTGGGGCTGGCCCAGCTGGTCCCCAGGTGGGTGTCAGAGCTCCAGGCTAGGAGTGCTTGGAGCAAGGGGGTGTCCCCATCCCAGCGTGGGCACAGCTCACTGGGATCTTCCTCCCCACACTGCAGGAGGGGGCTGCTGGCTCAGGGTAGGCAGCGGAAATGGGGACCTTGTCCTTGGTGTGAGGATGCGAGATACCCCAAGCCTGGGTCTGGGTATGTCTCCCCGTGGGGCTGAGCTGCCAGGTAGTCCCTGCCTGGGTTGCTCTTTTCATTGTGTTGTGTATATGTCTGTTGTTCTCTGTGTCTCAAAAGAGCTCTTATCACTGTTGCCTGTTAAGAACCTGCTTCCCATTTTTGTGCAGCTCCTCCTCTGCTCTGCCCTGTGTCACTGTGTTTCTGGCACAGTAATAGGTGGCCGTGTCTGCAGCCATCAGCAATTGGGCTTGGAGGGAGAACTGGTTCTTGGAGGTGTCCCTGGAGATGGTGACCCGGCTCTTCAGGGGTGGGTTGTAGCTGGTTCCCACACTGTAGCTAATCTCCCCCATCCACTCCAGGCCTTTTCCAGGAGGTTGCTGGACCCAGGTCCACCATGTGGTGCTTGTAGCGATGGACTCTCCAGAGACAGCGCAGGTCAGGGCGAGGGTCTCTCCAGGCTTCACCACCCCTGGGCCAGACAGCACCAGCTGTATGGCAGAGACAGCACCTGGGTAGAGCAAACAGAGCACCTAGAGATTTAGGCTCCTAAGGACTCCTTGAATGATCCCCTGTTCCCCTCCTCTCCCTGCTGGAGACTCACAGCCTGGGGCAGGGAGCACGGAAAGGAGAAGGAACAGATTTCATTCTTGCTGCCACTGATTGAAGGTTACTTCCCAGCAGGTAGGAGGCAGTAGGGCGAGGGTTGGGTTTGGGGCAGGGCAGGGACTGTGGTTCTGAGACCCAGGGGCTGTATTTACCCAGGAGCCCCCAGGCAGGGATTTGCATGTGGGTTCCCCTTGGGGGATAAGAGCTGGGAGCAATTCACTCCTGCCTGCAATGGGGTAGGTCTAGGTATAGGAGACATGTGCACCTGAGGCCGGGTGGGAGCTTGGAGGAGTGGGGGTGTGGGTTGCCGAGGCTGCAGGTCAATGCTGCTGGCACTTGGAGTGTCTCCCTTGCAGACAGGCCTGAACTGGGACAGCACATGGAGTTGATCAGGATAGATGAGATTAGTGGGCTGTTGAATGGAATCAGAAATCCCAGATCCGTCACGAATTGTGAGAACTGTGCAGTGAAGTCCTTTACAAGTCTTTGAGCTTTTTCAGACGAATCAATTGTAGGATATAAATTGTTTAGCAGACTCTGGGCCCCCAATATTGAATCCCTTTGCCCCTTTCCCAGTCAGCAGGAGGTGGCAGAGAAGAAACAGCTCCTGCCCAACCTTCCTGAGCTCACATCAGACACAGGCTGGATCCCAGGTTGGCACATGGGGCATTTTGAGTACCCACAGGTGTGCCCACAGGGCAGTGGAAGTGTTTCCTAACTTCAGGTACCTGTGGCTGAGGGTGACATGGGTATTTTGTGCCTTTTGCTGTCGCTGTAAATCTTTGTGACGTCCATGCTCTTGCAGGTATATCCTGCAGGCAGCTGCACTCTCCTAGTGTGGGATGGCAGTGCTCAGGCTGGTGACATCAGGAGAGGTGAGTGAGGCCTTCCCAAGGTGGGGGTTATGGTCTGGATCTGTGGGGAAAGTCTGTTGTGTCCAATAAAAATCTTGCTCCCTGAGAGAGGAGTCACTGAAAGACGGCTCCAGCGGATCCTGAGAGATCTTCAAGGCAGGTTCCAATTTTCCATGCGATGGGTCTGCGCTGCAGGATTGTGTTGGGGTGGGAGCCCCCAAGTTCTTGTATATTTGGTAGCTGAGAGAGTCTGTCCCTCCCCACAGATGCAGTCGGGGCAGAGATGGATGGTGTTAGCTCCGCATGGTCTGCAGGTTTGATTGTTTGATAGTTATTTCATTGTTGTTACTAGTTTGTTTCCAGTTCCAGTCTCACTTGAGACCCACTCCTTGGCCCATGGCTCTGTGCCCTTCACACACAAACATGCATTAGCACACACCAGCACATGTTCAGGCACATAGACACACCACATGCACACATGCAAACTGTCACATGCACACACCTCTATGCACACAAGCATGCTGTCCGTTCCCAAAGACTTCATGAGATTGTGCTATTTATTCCTACAGTCATAGCACTGAGAACAGGGTGTTAGAGGTTCAGGGAGCCTCCATGTGCCACTGGGAGGGGATAGGTGAGGGCTTGGCCAGCAGAAGGTGCTGGGACTCCTTTGTCAGCTCCTGTGCATGGGGACCCAGAGGGGACAGCGCTTTGTGACAGCAGGGTGCTTGTGAGTGCCCTGTGCTGCCTGCCATGTCCTCTGCAGGGAACCATTTGTGAGAGTGCAAGGGCAGTGCTGTGTCCGGGCTCAGCCTGCCTTTCCCATGCTGTGCATCTGGTACAGTGATACTGGGGCATGTCCTCACTTTTCAGGCTGATGATCTGTAGATAGAGTAGGCTGCTGGAGAGGTTTTGCAAGAGCGGTGCATAGAGTCTCCAGGCTTCCTCACACCACCTCTGGTTCCCCTGAGCTCGCCCTCCACCCTCATCGCTGCATCAAGACACATGATGAGAGGTCTGGACACATGGGCCCTCAGTGCCAAGACCCAAACCTAGGGATCCCTGCTGAGCACTGGGGAAAGCCCCAAACCTGTAAGAGCTGAAGCCAGATTGCAATGGGTCTGTGCTGGGGGAGCTCTCTTGGGTGTGGGCATACTTAATGCAGGGAGCCTGAGTCTGTGGCTTCCCCACACAGAGCTGCAGGGGCAGGGCAGGTGCCAGTTTTGAATGGGACTTGGGCTGAGCATTTGCATGATTTGCCTCTGAAGGGGGAAGGAAACATGGTCCCCTTGGGAACTGCAAGGGCAAGGTCCTGGGATGGGGCAGGAGGATGGGGAGCCAAGGGCTGGGTGGGAGCTGAGGTTCCACCTGGTGGGGTTTTTCCCAACACACAAGCACAGATGGGCCCACAGGCATGTGCCCCCTGCCCGTTGTCTTGGACTCATGTCCATCGTGTTGGAGAAGATGACAACTCTGGCTGTGATGGAGGTAGGAAGGCACTTGACAGGCATTGGGCCATAGGTATGAGGGCTGTGCAAAGCTTCAGGTGCTGATTCAATTCAGAGGAGATGAGGCCCATTTCAGCATCCAATCTCTGAATCTGAATCTAATCAGGAAACAAAGAAAGGTCCAAAATTGATTTGGAAAAGATTTAGAGAGCATTGGCGATTCGGGCAGTCCCTGCTTGCTGCAACAGGGAGCCCGCCCCAGACTCTGTGCTGGTAAGTAGGGGGTGGGGGATGGGAACCCCATTGGAACAGGACAGCAGGCACCCTGCCGAGCACCAGACCCACACACCGGTAGCTGCGGTGAGATGCCCTGGCCTGTTGCTGGCAGGAGGTGGCAAAACTGCTGCTTTTTTTGCCCACCCCGCCTGGAGTCCCAGGGGACTGAGGCTGGATCACAGTCAGGGGCCTTCCAGGGAGTTTGTCTCTGGTCTCCAGGGGGCTCTGGGCAGACCCTGCATGAGCAGGATGATGGTGCCCTTGGTCCTCTGCTGCCTGAGTCCAGATCCCCTCTGAGCCCTGGCCTTGGCCCTTAGATCCTTAAAGCTGCATCCTAGCTGTTGGAGTGTGGCTGAGGAGGTGATGGTCCAAGAAATGTACGTACAGCAGATATCTGGTGATAGTTTCTACTGCACCAAGTCGGTATTCAGAGAGCTTTTGGACAAGCTCACAGGCCCCAAGGTCCTTCATAATGTCTGGGGAGGAATTAAGTGAAACCAGAGCTAAGTAGCAAGAAAAGCAATGGTTTGTGATTAGTTGTATCTGCTGCAGGTGTTTTGTGCATTGTCCTTGAGCAGAAATCAAGGTTGGAGACTTGTAGCCAGGAAAGCCCAGGGAAAGTATGAGGCAAAGATTTTGTTGTTGTTGTACTAAGATGTTGTACTGGATGAAACACACACTTGGGAGACATGTTAGACACAGTTTCTAGCACAAAGGGCCCTTCCTCAGGTCTGGGCATGTTTCTCTCCCAGTTGCACTCTCTGAGCACAGGTGGTGAGTGTTGCTGCCCCTTCTTCTTGGTGCTGGGTGGGAGAATGGATGACAGCTACAAGGAATGGGAAAGGGGATTTCTTTCCACTTTCTAGTTGGTCACTGCAATGTGTTGAGTCTGGTTCCCAACTAGTCTTCTTTGCAATTTCTGTGGTGGGCACAGGCAGGTGTTGGAGATGTGGTGGGTCTCTTGTGCTCTTCTTAGTACAGCTGCAGTGGCAGAGGTGCACAGATGTGGGGGGGGGAGGGGTCTATGGTTCTGGCTTTATCAGAGCATAGTGGGTGGGTTTAGGGGTTGTCCTGGGCACTGTTCATGGTATGGAAGAATTTATTGTCAGCGTGCAGTGCTCTGTCTTCTGGGTGTACAAGCTCCTGGGTGCTGGCTCTGGGAGACTCCCACCTCTCCCAGCCCTTCCCCAGTTGGGTTGGTCTAATGGGGCCTTAGCTCAGGGTAGTCACCCAGGTTGACGATCTGGCCAGTGCAGGAGGGGCAAGCAGGGCTCTGGGGGTTGGGGCCTGGACTGGGCTCAGCTCCTGCACTTGGTTATTGCTGAGCAGGGAGTCAGTGCAGGGCAGGAGGCGGGGATGGGCCCAAGGGAGCAGTGTTCAACCTGCTTCCCCTTTGGGTGCAGCCCCTGACCTGGTCTGCACCACCATCTCTCTCCTGGCACAGTAATAATGTGGTGGTGTCTGCAGATGTCACGTAGCATCCCTGGGCTGCACTCAATAAGCTGGATTTCAGAAAAGACTCATGGAGAAAGGGACAGAGAGAAAGGGGATCATTACCCCTTGTACCAAGCCCTGGCTCTGGCCCCAGGGCACCCATAGGTGGGGGGCTGAACCCAAGAGCAGAAGAAGCCCAAGTGATCCCATCCTTATTGTCCTGGGATGGGGAAGAGTCCCCAGCAGGCAGGAGGGACCAAGGCTGGTGCTGCATGGAGACTGAGGCTGCAGGACCAAGGAGGATCTCCTCTCCTTGTGTAAGGTGGAATTTGCATGTGAGCTAACTCTGGTACCTCCTCATCCTCTGAGTCTCTCAGTGCCTCCACTAGCACTGGAGACAGTTCTCTTTCCTGTTGCAGACCCTGGGAACCACCCATATACAGCGTGTTTCTCTGGGAACAAGGGGAGGTGTTGGTCAGCATCAGCTCTTGGGAAAGCTCAGTCCAGCTGCCATCTCTAGCTGTGTCAGGCTGAGCAGACAGAGCTGTAGTTTCTGGAGCAGGGCAGGCCGTGTCGGTGTCGCAGACAAAGTTGGGTCTGAGTCCACGGCATTGTTAGTTAGCCTCACCTGTTTGGCTTCCTGGCTTAAGTGGTCATGTGTTGAGCCTGAGATGAGCTCTTAGTTGAGAGCATGCCCAGTTAAGATCAGAAGATGTTGGAAGAGAGTGCCTAGCACAAAGGTGTGCCATGTGCAGAGCACTGGCGTGCAGGGTGCACTGCCCCTGTAAAGACTTTTGCTGATTGACACTCAGCACGTGAGTGCGTGATAGCATGCCTGGGTGTGAATGGGCACATGTGTGGTTTGGCTGGTGGGTTTGTTGGTTGGTTTTGTTGATTGATACCTGTGCGAGAGAGAGAGAGACTGATAGAAACACGGTGAATGAACGAGGTGGAAGTGGCTTTGTGGTGTATTTTTTGTATTGGTGTGGGTGATCGTTATGCGGTGTTGTGCCTTGGGCTATGCCGTGACCGTGGAGGTCAGACGAGCCAAGCGCACCCTTGACAGCGAGGCTGCCATAGAGTTAGCATTCATCCCCAATGACCTCGAATCCTGAGACTCCACCTGTCTGCACCACTGCTGGTCTCCTGGTGTGATCTCCCAGTTTCTCTCTCTGAGTATGCATAGCACTTAAGGAACAGTCCTCCGGGGTATGTATCACCTGTTCATCACTCCTCCCTTCCCTAAAGCAGGAAGTAAAATGCCATCAGATCATCACTTTCAGTGTGATCTACATTCCCTGTGTTCTGGGTCAGTGGAGATCCAGTGTTTAATAAAGTTTACCGCTCACATAATAAAGTAAACACCAATCCCTGAGTTGATACTGAATCTGAGTTTCTAACATTTGTGGTGATACGCCAGGTCAATTCCTTAGCCAAGAATCACCTCACTTGGAACCAGACTATTGGGTCAGCTGTTAATTAGATGGTGCTAAGTAAGTCCAGGACCAACATCAGGACTACAGAGCTGTGTGTCTTGTCCTGTAACAGCACAGCAGTCTGCTGGCAATTGCCTGAGTCCTGGGTGCCAGCCTAGGCAGTCTTTGCCTTGTATTCCTGCCAGAAGGACAGGCAGAGCAGGGGCATGGTGGAGCTTGGGAAAGGACTCCTGGGTCCTTTCTAAATTTCAGATTCTGACCCACTGGTCACTTTTGAGCCTCCTTCCCTGGATTTAATCCCTGGCTGGTTCAAGTGACCTAAAAGGCCTGATGTCTCGCACCCAGCA